GGGGAGAGGTGAGGAGGGAGAGGTGAGGGGGTCGACGCAGCAGAGGGACAAGGAGCGCATAAGTCGAACAGAAAAAATTTTGCTAAGTACTTGCATAAAAGTGGAATGTAGAAGTGTTAATCTAGGATTTTCTTTCCTTTAACTTTTGCTGTAGAAGAAGAAGAAGAGACTTTTACTCTGAAGGAGATCAAAGAAAAAATTGAATCTACGGATGGCAAGAACTGGAAGCCGTTCTTCAAGGAAGGCGTCAAGAGGATAGAAGTTGAAGCAATTGAGAAGGGCCTGGAATCTAACACGGCAACTGAAGATATCAGATATGACTTCACATTCTACACTCCTTCTTGCCGAGATATTCGTGTTAAGGTATTTTAAATCTGAAATAGAGTAAATGAGGACATGCATTTATATCGTACTGAGGTTTTTTTTTTTCCATTATCTGACCTTGGAATCGAATCGTCCTTCCTCGAAAAAAGACCTTTTACTTTCGAGTATCGCCAAATAGAAAATAAAGAGCGGTATGCTCGTATCTATCTGCAAGGTTCAGTGAAAACGATACGGTCTTAAAGGAATCCGAATAGTTCGTCTTTAGGGAAGTTAATTTTAAGTGTATGTCGTTGAAATCTCTTAACTTATATTATAGCCTTTTAATTAAGGAAATAAGTCTACCTAGCTGAGAAACTGAAACACTAAAACACTGTCCCATTTTTTAGAGAAGCCTGTCCACTTCCCTGAATAAAGGCTGATTGGAATTGGTTTTCAATTCACAAGGCTTTCTACTTACTGTCTTTCTTGCCAGGCATGGTTGGTGAAGGAACATTCTGAGGAAGAGGGTACTGCAGCTCCTTCGCTAGTATTCTCTCGCAGTGCTCCTATTACCGTCAAAAACGTCCTGACTCGCGTGTTATCTGAAGACAAGACCGGAAGTACATCGAACGAACCATGCTTCCATATGTGCTCACAGTTTCAACAAAGAATGAGAGCAGACATTTTGATACCCTCCAAAGGATTTGACTGTCGTTTGTCGATACGAACATGTGAGTGGGCGAAGTGTGTTAAGAAGGACGCAATAACCAGCACTTCACCGCGCTAAAGGCATCCGGTTTTAATTTCACGATTTTTCTTTTAATTGCACAAGGAATAATATGCTCATTTTTCTTAGGGACTATCTTGTCAACGCGAATGAAATTTGCAAGGGATGAAAAGCCAAAAAAGCGAATTATTGATAACATCTGATACTGGTCATACCCACCGAAAAATAATAAAATTAATGAAAGGATCCTGCAGTCTTAAGCCTTAATATGCATGACCCTTTCCAGGTCTTTTTTTTTTTTTTTTCACCGAGAATAAAAATGAAAATAAGAACAAAAGAAACGAATTATGGGCTTAAGTCTGGCATCGTCTCAATCTGCCAATAATTGAATAAATGGATATGACATCATCTCAGTTAACGGTAAGTCGTGTCACTTTTGTCTAGGTCCAAATATTCCGCAGACGCCAGAAGCTGAAGAAGAAGACAGAATTCTGGAAAGTTACTTAATCAACATGAAGATTGATCAAGGTCAGCTGAAGCTGCCACCAAACTCCGAGCTTCCAGACGGGTTTGAACTTTTTTACCACCGCCGCAGCCTAAGGAAAACATACCAATGCCAAACGCCGGATGGAGAGCAGTTTGCTTTGACTATTTGTAAGGACCAAGCTAAAGACGTAAATACTGATCACACTGATGTATGGAGCTTCGACGAAACAGAAGTAAAGGTATCACTACATCAAGCCATACTATCTTTTCGTCCTTGTTAGCTATCTACCGCTCTTTGTGTCATGGTCCATGTCATTTACCGATCAGTATTTCAGTATGTTTGGAAAGTGAAACGTCTGTCGAACTCTAAGTCCGCCAGTCAACCAATTCAGTAAATAGTCGGTACAACCAGTCTGTCAGTCTGCTGGTCTGCCCTTTCCAAACTTGCCCTTTCGGTCTGTTAGTCCGTCAGTGAGCTCCTCGGTCAGTTAAGAATAGGACGGTCAATTATATTAGTCAGCCCCAATAGCTAGTCTACCAATGAGCTAATCAGCAAATTGGTCAGTCAGTCAGTCAGTTCGTCAGTCGGAGAGACAGCCAGTCAGTCAGTCAGACAATCAGACGGTCAAACAGCCACACAGTCAAGCAGTCAGCTAACCCGGTCAGTCAGTCAGTCAGTCAGTCAGTCATTCAGTGGCTGAGTCGTTAGGTAAATGTAGTTTTTCGTTAGTAATGAACTATGTTACATTTTTAGTCATTCAGTAATCTGTCGGAATTCGATCGATTTACCCTCGTTAGCGCGACTGATCAGGAAATTGTTCAGTGTAGCGTTTTTCGTGGGTCATGAGTCAATGAAAGGTTTACGCACTCGAATTTCTTTTTGAGTTTCTATTTTAAGGCACGTCTAATTAACAGTTGGTTCATGCTTTAGCGTGCACTATCGAGTTATGGAGCACGCGGGAAGTTTGGAGAGCACAAAAGAAGCGTAAGAGTTGCCCTCGGCTATCGCCTCGGGCAAC